TCCAGTGCTTCTTCCTGATTTCTTCATCCACTGGAATCTAGTTTGTTCTCTCCCATAGTATGTTGTTGCTGGTAATGTCTGGCCAACGAATCCCAAGTATTTTACGTAGACAACTGTTAATAAACATTTGTATCTTCTGGATGATGGCTTTTGTAGTTCTAGAGGGTTTTGGCCCCATACAGTAGAACTGTCTTGACATTTGTATTGAGGATTGTGACCTTGATGTTGGTTGACAGACAGTTGTTTTGAGTTCGACATGTTCTTCAGTTGTAAATATGCTGCTCTTGCTTTACCAATCCGTGCCTTCAAATCTGCATCAGTTCCACCGTGTTCATTGTTGTAAAGTCTCACCTACATATATAGCAGTACAATCACTTCATCCGATCACATATACACAACCCAAAGAACCGTGTACTTATTTTTTATTCGATAATTTTGATGTTTGTTTATATTTTTTTTTGAAAAAGCTTGCACCAGATCCCTAAACGATTTATAGGATTTATTTAAAATTCAATCGCTGAGATTTTATACATATAATTTTCATCTTTATTGTTTTACTTTAATTCTCCACCTAACTGCTGTTGAATAATTCGTTTACATTTAAACGAAAGTTCTTAGATGTTTCCATAGCCTAGAAATATCATAAACATGTCGGCTTATCTACCAGTTAACAAATCTAAAATAATCTTAAAATGATGTTTATTACCAATAATTTCAATACTGTTTGACGTTATAAAGAAGTCATTTGACATTTCGATATAAAATAAAAGAAGACAGTTAAAAAGAATAAAGAAACTTAGGGGGAGAAATGTCTCCGGTTTTTATTGATAAATTATTGTTCGAAATGTCAAATAATAATTTTGTATATATACTGATATAACGGTAGAATAAACACATTTTCTATTATACGATAATGGTACCACAGATCGAGATTTTGCTAACACTAAAGTGGATACATGATCTATATACTATACAGAGATTGAGTCACATTATTATCATATACTCGGATAGATGAAAATACTTTTGTTTCAATACGATAAGAGGTCTGTATTCAATGAATCCAGAGTAGAAATCAATGATAGAAATGAAATAATAAATTCAATAATCATTCAGCTGTATCCGTCAGTATACACTCAGTAGTCAGTCATATTCATTCTCACTTGCTACACATCATATATATATATATATATTCGCGCGCGAGACCGATAGGTCCCGGGTTCGAATCCCGCAGGATGGGATCATGGATGCCTACTGCTAAGGAGTCCCATAACAGAACGAAACGGCCGTCTAATGCTTCCAGTTTTTCCTTGCTAATCTATTTTTAATGGAATCATAAATTTAAATATTATATTACTAAAATCTTTTAAGTCCCACTTTAAAACGAAAGTTATATGCTTGATGATGAATGAATTTTATGGTTAAAGGTATTTCTTAAAATTGTTTATGAAATTTTTATATAAACAGATATCAAATGGTTCATGATCGCGTAATTTCACTAATAAACTCCTTCAAATTCATCTTAAGGGGGATTTATTCTAAACAATTAAAATATATTCTATGACTTCAACCTAATATCTCCTTATCCTTATGCCTGTTACTCTCCAACCTAATACATGATTTCCAATTTATTTGTTATATAGAAAAGTAGAAAAACAGACATATCCACTCCTAAATCTTAAAGTGTAAAACAACAAGCTTAAAGTGTTATGTGGTTATTAAAAATGTTTAGGTTATCATTATTATTACTATTACTATTATTATTATTATTATTACTAACCCTTGAGAAGTTTACCATGATACCTGAAATCTAGTTAAACAATCAAACAGTCACTGAGGAATTATTAGTTATAAATAATTATACAGTTACAGTTTGGCCATAACATCAACTACTTATAAATGACATTCAATCCTATATTGATATCCCTATGAATATCTAAGCAAATGATTGACATATATTTTGCCAAATATATTAAATATTTAGTAATGTAAAGTACTTTACATGGCATACACTATAAACTCACTTGAAAAATGTTTATTATTATTAGTGAACATCTATAGACCTACGATTTAGTGAACGAGAACAAAAGTTAGGACAATCAAATGTATTTGAACACAAAATTACAGAACATCTTACTAGAATCTGAGAATCATACAGTAAAGACTTCATTTGCAAACTGTCAATCCGTTGTCTTAAACTTCACTGTTCCTTTTGCAAATATCAGTTCATTGCTTCAGAATTCATTGTTCTTGCATTTTCATACCAATTGTTTTCGGTTCCCTTTCTTTCCTTCTCGATCTTCTACTGAAATACATTTTATATTTGACTATCATTATATACTACTTATGTGGATATAAGTAGCACACACCACAATCGAACCTAAATAAACAATAATCAATATATTTCAATCATCAACTAAACAGACTTAAAACGAGACTTTATTTTAAACAGAGTACTCTTTTATAGATTTATATTACATTTTCTTAAGTGAATGATTTAAAAAATACAGCTAATATGTTCTGTACATCGTACTTGCACAATCTAAATATATTTTCCATTAAGTCACTAACATGTATCATTTGTTACTAAGAATGGAATTTACCAACACAATCATCAAAGTTTTCAATTTTAATTAATTAATTAATGTAATTAGTATAACTATACACAGACTTCCATTAATGTGTTGTATTGGATGGAGAGTGCTGGTGGGCGGCCTATGCTCCGCCACGACGGGTAATAGGCGTAAGTATGCATTGTAACCAGATATCAATTTGCATATGTAAAAAGAACTTTGAATTTCAATCTGTTAGTTGACATTTGAACTTGTACTTACTGCTCAGTTATAAAATAATTTGATTACAAGTATGAACTGACTTTGAGAGTCGAACAAGTTACGTGTAAATATTTTTAGACTGAGAAAACTACCCTTCATGAGTGTTTACTTGAGCCATTATTAGCAGGGAGATATTTGTGATCTATCTGAACATCAGTGCAAAGTCCATAAGATTAAATAGTGATTTGAACGCTTTGAACCCTCAGAAAGGAGTTGAAAATTGGCTATTGAGTGCAAAAATTTAACGAATGAATTCCTGGTCACATTCCAGTAGAACGTTTAATTGATTGATATAGGAAAATGAAGATGGTCAAGTTTATCAAGTTGCCTAAGCAAGGAATTAGGTTCAATAAATAACAGTTTTATGAGAAAAACACTTTCAAATTGTCTAACTTACTGAGCGTTTTGCGCAAACTAATAAATGATTATAAACCATATATTAATAAAAACAAGATAAATTTTGTACTACTGAAATATATATTTAAGTACCATGAAATATACCCAAAAATTTAAGTCAGTTATGAAGAAAGAAATTTAGTAAAATTCACTTTTTTAATGTACAAATAATAATAAAAGCTATGATTTTCATGAATAACGCGTTTTCAAACTGGTATGCATATTGTGCAACATCAAATCTACTGTGAGCTTTATTAGTCCATAATGATTCAATTTAATAAAGCGTTAGAAATTACTTTGAATCGATCTTTGGATATTTAAATATGTAAATTTTTAATAGTTGAACTCATAAGTCAATTGAAGCTAAATCACCATAGAAAACCTAGAACCAATGGACGGCCGCTTCGTCCCAGTGTGAAACTCCTCAGCAGTGCGCGTCCACAATCCCGCCCCCCTGAGATTCGAACCCAGAACCGATCAATCTCGCGCTCTAACGCTTAACCACTGAACCACCATACAACGGTGTTATTGTTTAATTTAAACTGATCCACGAAATTGAGCGACATATACACCGTTGTTTTTAGTGAATAACTATCTCACAGCAGACCCGGTTGAACTGCCCCGGTCACTGCTTCTCACTAGAACTCCAGGAAATACCTGTCAAATATCATCACTAGTGGTCTAGAGGTTAGGCGCTTGCGCGTGAGACCAATAGGTCCTGGGTTCGAACCTAGCGAAGCGAGCTCGTGGATGCGCAGTGCTAAAGAGTCCCATACTAGGACGAAACGGCCTTCCAATGCTTCCAGGTTTCCCATATTGGTCTAGCTTCAATTGACTCATGGATTCAACAATTAAAAATTACTGTAATATCCACAAAGCCTCCGTCTGATTTAAATATATGTTTAACTCTTCTACCATCAGTTGTTTTATATCATTTAATGACTTTCAATTTAGCAAGTTATCATTCATTATATCCAGTTGACATTATACAGTAATAGAAATTTCATAAAAACGAATATTTTATTTTTTGAGGTTTGATATCTGAATGAACCGAAAGTATTTTAATAAATATAAAGATTTAGTGAATAGTGTAGTTGACAAATTAATTGAAAATGATTGTAATACATCACTATAAACATGAAGAGCTACAACTCAATGCAAAGAAACTTAGATAAATGCACACACATGACAAGAGTTCTAGTATTATGGAGGATTAAGAGTGGGATCGTGAGCAGTATTGATAATAATAATAACCGTTGAATGAACAAACGAATCTAATCCAGAAATACGAAGTTGTGATTATTAGCACCAAAGGTTTAGCAGCGGTATTTTTCTTTGTACTTAATTCATATTGATAGTAATCATAATCATTAGCTAAGCGAATTTATTATTCACTTGATCCTGATTACTCTAAAAAACATTTAAAGTGATGAGTAAACATTCTACATTCAGTGACTGATGAATAACTAGACTCAGAAAAGAAAACACCCAGATCTTATTGATTTCCTTCTGTTCGGAATGGTTGAAAAAATCAAATGTATGATAGTATTGAAATCCATACACTTATCGATTTAAATTTCAGAGCAAGATAATATTTTGGCAATTATAAGTTAGGACTTTTAGAACTATCATTACACATTTAAGCAAAGGTGAACTGCAATAGTATCGAATAATTTATTTAGTAATTTATTTAAATATCACTAAAAGTAGTTGATTTATCTACTTAAAGTTTTAAAGTACTCAACTTATTCCAACTTTTTTGTTTATTGTCAGAGATTTTCTACATCTTCAAGTACATCAACAAGTCAAAGACAAATGTTTCCACCTTCATTACCTGCACCACCTAATCCAGCTCCAGATCTTAGTCCAGTAAAAAACCAATCACGAAGAACATCTGCACCAGCTGTACCTCATCGAAATTATTTAGCTGTTGATAATTGTAACAATAATAAAACTAGCCAGAGTAATAATATTGAAACTATAGATTTAAATAGATATCCTATTAAAACCGATGAAACAATTACGAATGAATTATCTTCAAAATATTGGATTCATAGTCCACCACAATCATTAATAGCAGAAAGTATTTCCCATTCTGAATTTGATAGTTTACTTATAGCTAATGAAGGTTTTTCTACAGAAAATAGTTTCATAAATAAAATAAAAAATAATTCAATATCTAAATCAAATCTTTCACAATACAGTGAAGAAAGTTTATTAACAACACTTATTCGATGTCAAAATCTAAAAGAAAAAAACAATTTGAATCAAAAATTAAAAACAAGAATCAATCTAAATGATCAAGAAACCCAATCTAAATCAATAAAGTCAACTTCATCCGATCTTAATAATCCTGTACATTTACCAGATCAATCATGTCTTAGTCAAAGATTGATAAACGATCATAATAATTCTAATAAAATCAATATATTGAATAATAATAATAATAATAGTACCACTACATTCAATAATACTTTAGATAGAAAAACAAAAAAGACTAATAATCAATCTTTATTAGATAAAATAAATATTAATTCTACAAATTTAAGTAAAGTTGAATTAGCTAAACGTTGTTGGGAAAATTATTTTCGACCTAAACCACCAAGAATTGGAAGAAATAAAACTATAGAAGATAATTCAATGACACAATCTGTTACAATAGATATGAATAATAAAATAACCGATCTATGTTTAAGATCTAATAGTGTTGATTGTACATATCGCAATTTTGAAAATAAAACTGATATAATAAACAATTGTGAATTTAATAATAATAATAATAATAATAATAATGAAAGACAAAATAATGAATATTTACAAACTTCACAATATAAAACATCATCTATATGTGTAAGTCCAATTTCATCAAATAGTAGTAATTCATCAATAATTGATTCTAATAAAAATCAATTACAATCATTTCATAAAAAAAATAATCAATTAAATAATAAAAAAACAAAATATATAGGTAAAGGATATTCACCTTCATTTATTCGTTTAATTACTGATAATGAATTAGATAATAATGAAGAGAATAATCAAAATTTTGATCAAATCTCTAATCTAGATCAATTGAATTATCAATATTCTGGTTCAACATTAACTATTACTGAAAATACACAAACAACTAAAGATCATGATCATGATCATGATCATCATGATCATGATCATAAAATCAATTCAAATTCATCAATAAAACAAATTATATTTAATGAAAAACGTTTATGTCGAAGTAATATAGAATTTTCTAATTATAATAAAGAAAAATATTTAAATTATTATCATGAATATTTACGTCCACAATCACTTACATTAAAACGTCATTGTATTGATTTTAAAGATTATCATAATAAAATTAATAAATCTTCTAGTATATCATCAGATAATGTTCAAACAACTAATCAATATAATTATAATGATAATTTCATAAAAAATAAAAAAAATAATCCATACACATTTATTGATTATATAACACAGACAAATAATAATAATAATAATCATCATCATCATCATCATTATTTAAAGAAACATTCTGATTGGTTAAAATTAAATATTCTAAAAAATGATCAATTTCCAGAAAATTATTTCAATAAATCATTTCAACCAAATCCTACACAATTTATTCATCATTCTATTATACCAATAAGTAATTATTCAAGATCATATTCAGCAGATTATAATCCATTAAAATCACATTTAAATAATAATAATAATAATAATAATTCAATAATTATTGGAATTGATAGATCAGAATCATTTGATAAAAAAATTAAACATATTTCATCAAATATTAAATTTAATAAAACTACACAGAAACTAAATAGTAAATCAGTACAATTAACTGAAATAAATAATTTATCATTATCACAAGGAATTATTTATAATCATCTTTATATCAATAATAAAAAAGTAAATTCTATAGATTATAATGATAATAATGAATATAATAATAATTATAAATTAAAAATGTCACTTTCACCTGCATCACAACGATATGAAAAACATGTATTAGCTACTGTAACTGGAAGATCCTATTATAAAACTAATCATCAATTATTATTTAATGATTATAAAAATTATATAAAATATCAAAATCCTATTAAAAAAGTTAAAATATTACCTGATTATCAATATGATATCAATCCTATAGAGATGATTAGAGATTACCATCATGATGATGATCATGATGATGATGATGATGATGATAATGGTGGTGGTGAAGAAGAAGAACAACAAGAACAAGAACAACAACAAGAACAAGAAGAGAATGATTCAAATGATCATCAAAATGATAATTTAATGAATAGAAAATTATGGCGTGAAAAAATTGGAGCTATTACTAAATGGAGACGTGATGTTGATAATGCTATGTTAGCTGGTGAAACAGAAATAGTTTATTCACCAGAAACTATATTACATGATAATTGTATAAAAGAACAATTTAATATATCTTCTATACCTAATAAACATGATTCAATTAATTATTTACAACCAACAAGTATACAAGGTAATACTATTCAATCAAATGGATTATATTCATTAATAAATAATGTTGAAATAAATTATTCAACTTCTTGTGCTTTACCAATAATACAATCTTATACATATAGTAAACCATTAATTAATGATAATGAAACAGTTGGAACAAAACAAAATCTATTGTATTCAATTAATAATTTGAAACCAAGCACATATCAAATACCAATGACGAAAGATATGAATTTGTATGACAATGTGGTACCAAAGGTAAAAAAAAAATAGACATTTTTCGATCTAATAACTTATCTATTTATTAATGATACTACAATTTGCATTCATGTGACATCTATATTCATAGAATGTAGATTGAATTAGGCTATTTTTCACTTTGGTTAAGAATAACTAATAGAAAGTGTTAGTTTATATGATTATAGAAATTTTTTATGCTGATAAATAAAGAAGGACACGGATAGTCTACTTAGTATATCTATTAGATTTTGTATAACCAACAACTGATACTGTTTACTTTTGTATACAATTAGTGAGTATCTTCTAGAGTGAATAACCAAACGTTTATCTTTCACCGTAAACTGATCAATTATCGCCTATATTGTTCAAAAAGCATATAAATCTAAAAAAAAGCAACCGCTTCCATAGTCTACTGTAATAGTACTAATCTACCAAAGCTATTAAATACAGAACACTTTAAATGGGATGAGCAGTAGGCATAAAATATAAGAAACTGAAGCTCTACATCCAAAAAAATGTGTATTCAACTACGTTTCTTAATTTGGTTGTGCTCACGTTGAATGAACCAATCGTCATATCATAACTTTAGTTTATTTGATCCCCTTATTATTATTATTATTACCACATAATTTTTCTTGTTCATTTAAATAATTTATTCAGCACTCAGTTCATATCAATATCGCTTATACTATTCACGTTATATAACACATTACGTAATATTCAAATGAATATTTTGCCTCATTAGTAATCGGATCATTACTTCTTTTGTGCATCATTTGTTAGTATCATTTTCATCGTAATTTCAGTTGATCAACAGATTAATTGGAGTACTCATTTCATATTAACTAATTCAACATTTACAAATCACAGATCAATAAATAAAGTAATAATTCTAAGATAGTGGAGAAGCTTTGTAGAGCTGATAGATGATTTTTAGCAGAGTTTCGTTTTCTGAGCTCGATAGTTAAGTTGTTGAGCTTTCATTATTCTTTTCATCAATGTTATCAGGTAGAGGTTTTGTGCTGACAATATAATTCAAAAGAAAAATGAAAGTTCCACGATCAAACCACCTAGCTAAGAAAACAAAGCTCTATCAAAAATGAATAATTCTAACTATCTATATATCCTGTAGGTATAACCAACTGAACGAAACTTGTGTTTTAGATTCCACTGCTAATCATCATTCATTTTTGTTCTTTATCCTATATTATAATTCACTATATCTTCTACTGGTTTTTCATTTCAATTTAAAACTATAGACCATAATGATAAATTATTAGAAAGAAAGATGATGAAATCCAAATGGTACATTTTCTTTTCATTTTTTAACATAAAATGGAATGTTTATGATTTAAGTAAAAAATAAAGCCTCATTATCACATAATAAGTAATCCAGTTATTAATATAATGGTACCATTTTTGTTTTACTGATCGGCGGCCTATACTCCATTGGGAGTAACAAGAGTAGGTAAGTAAGTAACAAAGTGTAAATGCAATTACTATGATGAATCAAGCACAATGAATTTGATATCAAACCCACGGAAGTTAATTTAGAACTCTGAAAGATAATGTAGAATCTATACTAAATTAATACTGATTTATGTTGTCTGCTCTTAATAATCAAATTATTAGTCGTATTGTAATTTAAAGTAATTAGTACCTTAGATAAATGTCAATAGTGTAATAAGAAGACAATGATTATCAGAACTATGTGATGATATAATAGCGCAATGTATTTCAAATAATCTGACCATATATACTTGCTAAGGTCAAGTAGACTGGAAATGGAAGGTAAGAGGAGACATGATAATAAAGTAAATAATGTGAAAACAATTTGAAACCTGATCACTCTGGATAATAAGCTAATATTACCAGGGTAGGTTTAAGGTGAGAACAAACTGTTTTTGAATATACAGAGAGGGTTTGAAGCTTCAATAAACCTTAGTATACGACCCTTTGAACTTTTGTACAACACTACAAAAATCGAGTTAAGATCAATCTTATGTGTTTGGCAATAGAGTATGGGTCATTCGATTATATTTGTTTCTCCAACCATTTGGGCACATGTTCACACACCCTAATTTTGAGATCACGATTACCCCTCCCTATGTATATGTGACCATACACACACACACATTTAAATTGGTAAACACAATGGGATGTGATGCAATCGTTTTCTTGTCTTCTAGGTTTTAGATAAAAAATGTAATTACTGATAAGTTTTACCAAGAGAAAGGTTTATACCATATCTCTAAATGAATAAACTTGTATGGTTTATGGAGATTGTAGAATTTTTTTATTTAAATTTGAACTGATCTTTGTTAGGCCACTAATGAAAATCGGGAAGCATCGAATAGCTATTTCATCCCAATATGGGATGTCTGAACAGTATGCGTCCACGACCTCACTGGAAACTTTGCTTGGGATCTTCGAACTTGAGCTCGAACGCTTAACCTCTATATTTATTAGTGCATATGTCTAATTTTATTCAATTCACGATATTGTGCAACCATTTTTCACTACATTCTATGGGTAAATTGTTCACCAGCGACTAGTTTGAATTTTATTGACTACGACTTCTCACTAGAACTTGAGGAATCACGACTTCAAACTAGTCACTAGTGACCGTATGATTATTAAGAGTAAACTTGTGTTTATAGTCGGCTACATTTAGGAAATCGATTTATGGAATTCTGGTGGTAAGCTATAACCTGTAAAGTTAACCACTTGATCTATTCCTAACAAAGACTGAAGAGAGTAATATTTCGCTATCAAACATGATTACTACGTATCGGCTCCCATCGAATTCCTATATTTAAATCACTCACATCATCATATAAATAGACAAAGAAAAACAATTTAGAAGTAATTGTAATTAAATAGCATGATTTCGTGACTTAAGGCGATATCGAGGCAGTTTTCACAGGATAAACATACACCAAAAGACTGATCAATTGCAATCCCAAAATAACAATGGGAAGATATAAGTAAACAATACCAAGTGAGTTTAGAAATATTGTTTATATAAACCTAATTATGTCTAGACAGATAAGAATTTATTCTATTCACTTGATGTTGTTTACTTGAATCTTCCCATTGATGTTTACGACTGCAATTGACCAGTATCTTATTGGAATATGTGTATATTGTGCGCAATGCCTCGATATTACCTCATGAGAATTCTAAGCAAAGATGGATGGTGGTTATTAGTGGAATTCAAGACGCACGTTTCGTCCTATTTATTATACAATAGAGACAGTTAGGTAAACTTCAGTAATACTATGTAATTTAGCCTAAAACTGTTTGATATCAGATTAAAGACTGCAATGGTAATCTTCGCCAGTTCATGTTTAACAAATAGAGGTATTCACTTATATGCAAAGTAAAATAGATTCATCGTTGAAAAAGATGAAGTGAACTTAGTTGACTGGTATTATAAAATAATATCATTACTTCAGAAAAATCATTATGTTGGACAGAATCGCAACAATTTCACGTTTTCAATTTAAAGGATTGTCATTTCAAAATAGAATGCAGTGGATAATTGTATTACTTTAGACTGAGACACTTCATTAGTCTATAATTATAACCTTACAAGGAATTCATCCTATAGTATACAATTCCTATAATCTAAATATATCATCGATACTGGTTTAGTAGAAAGTTCTTGAGTGAGATCATGAACCGATTGAATACCTGGAAGCAGTGGACGGCCGTTTCGTCCTATTGTGGGACTCCTCATTTGTACACAAACACGTTCCCGCTAACATCAATCAGTTCATGACCTCAATCAAAAACTTAATAATCTGCATAACCCTATACTGAGAAAGTTCTTGGTTTGACCCAGTATAGTTTATATTGTTTAAGAGTTTCAAAACAGAATTTAAAAAATTGTCTAATGCTTTTGATAATTCATTAGTGTTAAAACATAAAAGAAACTAATTTCTTATTGCATAATAGTTGATGAAATATGCTGAAATATACTTAAAAAGCGTTAAACCTACAAGTAGTTATAGTTCATATTATTACCATAAATTAATAATGAAGATTATTTGGTTTTAAAATATTCAATCACCAATATTAACACAGTCATTAAATTTTTAAAAAAAATGTGTGACATCATAAACTTGGGAACTGTAATCTATTTCATATTGTTTGAAATATTTAAAAGGAAACCTACCATGACTTACTTGTCTTTTTCATTACGACTCGTCATTCAGATTTAGTAACAAACTTCTTATAAGTGATTGATTCTTAAAGACCTAAATGAGCATTAATATTAGGTACACTATGAAAGATATTGCTATGCCACATTACATCCTATGAAATAACACCGTTAGGTGACGGCTCAGTGGTTTAGAGATTAAGCATTTGCGCGCGAGACTCATAGATCCTGGGTTCGGTTCTCGTGAAGCGTGATCATAAAGGCGCACTGCTGAGGAGTCCCTTGCTAGAGCGAAATGGCTTTTCAGTGCTTCCAGTTTTTCTATGATGTTCTAGCTTCAACTGACTCATGAACTCAACTTTTAAATTGCTATAATATCCACAAAAATCATTTCTAATATTACTCGAAACGTCTAAACCAAGTTCGTTTTCAGTTACTGGTGATATATACCTTGAAAATAAAAATGAATCTCTTAATTGATACACATATCTATGTGTATTTTAAATAGAATCTTCATTAACCATGAATGATAAGATCATTACCAACGAACCTAACATAATTTCAATGGTTGAAATCATGAATCGATTAAAGCTAGACCAACATAGAAAACCCCTCGCGGGGTTCGAACCCAGGACGTGTCAGTCTCGCGCGCGAACGCTTAGCTATCAGACCACTGAGCCAGCCGGCGTCCAACGGTGTTAATGTCTAACTTCAACCAATCCTGGATGCGCACTGCTGAGGAGTCCCATACTAGGACGAAACGGCTTTCCAGTGCTTCCAGTTTTTCCATGGTGTTCAAGCTTCAATCAACTCATGATTTCAACTATTAAGATTACTACAATCTCCACAAAAC